TGCAACAGCTCTGTGCCCAAAGTGTTCTTCTCGGAAGCTAAAGAAGCCCACCAAACTGTCCCTGCCCTCCCCTTTTCCTGCCCCCTTCCCCCCCGGGCCCAGCTGAACTCTGTGTTCTTCAAGTGTCCACCAAGTACCCACAGTTAGGTTTTCCCCTTTTCCTCGCAAGTAATGGATAAAAATTCCAGTAACTAAAAGAACTAAAAGAAGGACACCTAACCCCCAACATTATCCACCCTGAATTTTTTCCCATACCAAAATGTTACATCAAATATTAAACCTTTAAGTTATACCTAAACACACACTACTTTAACTATATACATATGTATATGCAGATACAGATACAAGCACAGTGTCATGGGTAGTTCACCCTAAAACAAGGTCTCCTTGAGGTATGCACTGGGTCTCTCCGTCCTTTTGCATCACCCACCAAATGCAACCCGGTCCTTGAGCAAAGACAACTCCACGGATTGGACTGTCTTTGCTGGAGGCAGAATTAACCCAAACAGTTTTTCCCAGCATACCTCTCATATGTACCACTGGAACTTTATCTCCCTCTGTTGATCTAAAGGGCTCAGATTGGGCAGGGTCTGCTCGGTTAGTGGAACCTCGGGTATTCACCAACCATGTGGCTTTTGCTAAGTTCATCTCCCAGTTCTTGAAAGTCTCCCCACCCAGTGCCTTCAAGCTGGTTTTAAGCAAGCCATTGCACCGTTCAACTTTCCCAGCTGCTGGTGCATGATAAGGGATATGGTACACCCACTCAGTGCCATGTTCCTTAGCCCAGGTCTTTATAAGGCTATTCCTGAAATGCATCCTGTTGTCTGACTCAATCCTCTCAGGGGTGCCATGCCTCCAAAGGACCTGCTTTTCAAGTCCCAGGATGGTGTTCCGGGCAGTGGCATGAGGCACAGGGTAGGTTTCCAACCATCCTGTGGTGGCTTCTACCATTGTGAGCACGTAGCACTTGCCTTGGCGGGTTTGGGGCAGTGTGATGTAGTCAATCTGCCAGGCCTCCCCATACTTGTATCTGGACCATCGCCCACCGTACCATAGCGGCTTCAACCGCTTGGCCTGCTTGATCGTGGCACACGTCTCACAGTCATGAATAACCTGAGATAACCCCTTGGTCTCGTGCCCACTTATAGGTGGCATCTCTACCCTGATGACCTGAGGCATCATGAGCCCATCGAGCTAGGAACAACTCTCCCTTGTGTTGCCAAACTAAGTCCATCCTTGACACCTCTATCATTGCAGCCTGATCCACCTGCTCATTGTTTCAGTGCTCTTCATTAGCCTGACTCCTGTGGACATGGGTATCTACATGACTGACTTTCACAGACAGTTTCTCTACCCTGGTGGCGATGTCTTTCCACTCATCAGCAGCCCAGATTGGCTTTCTTCTGCGTTGCCAGTCGGCCCTTTTCCACCTTTCCAGCCATCCTCACAGAGCATTGTCTACCATCCATGAATCTGTGTAGTGGTAGAGCTTTGGCCACTTCTCTCTTTCAGCAATGTCCAGGGCCAGTTGAACAGCTTTGAGTTCAGCAAGTTGGCTTTATCCACCTTCTCCTTCAGTGGCCTCTGCGACCTGTCGTGTGGGGCTCCATACGGCTGCTTTCCACTTCTGGTTCATCCCTACGATGCGACAGGAACCATCAGTAAACAGAGCATAGCGTGTTTCTTCTGCTGGCAGTTGGTTGTACGGTGGAGCTTCTTCAGCCCGTGTCACTTGTTCCTGCTCCTCTTCATCAGTGAGACCAAAGTTTTCACCTTCTGGCCAGTTTGTAATTATCTCCAAAATCCCAGGGCGATTTGGGTTTCTAATACGGGCGCGCTGCGTGATGAGGGCGATCCACTTGCTCCATGTAGCGTCGGTGGCGTGGTGGGTAGCAGGAACCTTTCCTTTAAACATCCACCCCAGCACTGGCAGTCGGGGTGCCAGGAGGAGTTGTGCTTCTGTGCCAATCACTTCTGAGGCGGCTTGAACTCCTTCATAGGCAGCTAAGATTTCCTTCTCCGTGGGAGTGTAGTTGGCTTCGGACCCTCTGTAGCTTTGGTTCCAGAATCTCAGTGGTCGGCCTCGAGTCTCCCCAGGCACTTTCTGCCAAAGGCTCCAGGACAGACCATGGCTCCTGGCTGCAGAGTAGAGCACGTTCTTCACATCTGGTCCTGTCCTGACTGGGCCAAGGGCTACTGCATGGGCGGTCTCCTATTTGATCTGAGTAAAGGCTTGTTGTTGTTCAGGGCCCCACTGGAAAGTGTTCTTTTTGCGGGTGACCAGGTAAAGAAGGCTCACAATCTGGCTGTACTCAGGAATGTGCATCTTCCAAAAACCTATGGCACTTAGGAAAGCTTGCGTTTCCTTCTTGCTGGTGGGTGGAGACATTGCAGTGATCTTATTGACGACCTCAGTGGGAATCTGAAGCCGTCTATCTTGCTACTTTACCCCCAGGAACTGAATTTCACGAGCTGGTCTCTTAACTTTGCTCTTCTTGATGGCAAAACCAGCTTTCAGGAGAACCTGGATGATTTTCTCTCCTTTCTCAAAGACCTCTTCAGCCGTCTTTCCCCAAACAATGATGTCATCAATGTACTGCAGATGTTCTGGAGCCTCACCCTTTTCCAGGGCAGCCTGGATCAGTCCATGGCAGATGGTGGGGCTGTGCTTCCACCCCTGGGGCAGTCGGTTCCAGGTGTACTGCACTCCCCTCCACGTGAAGGCAAACTGAGGCTTGCATTCTGCTGCCAGGGGAATGGAGAAAAATGCATTGGCAATGTCAATAGTGGCGTACCACTTCGCTGCCTTGGACTCCAGCTCGTACTGGAGCTCCAACATATCCGGCACAGCAGCGCTCAGAGGTGGAGTCACTTCATTCAATGCACGATAGTCCACAGTCAATCTCTATTTTCTTTCAGATTTACGCACAGGCCAGATGGGGCTGTTGAAGGGTGAGTGAGTTTTGCTGACCACCCCTTGGCTCTCCAGTTCTCGGATCATCTTGTGGATGGGGATCACAGCATCTCGATTCTCGATTTGTCCTATACTGCCGGCGGTGCACCGTCGAGGTGGCAATTGGTACTCACTGTTCTTCCACCTTCAGGAGTCCTACTACAGATGGGTTCTCTGATAGTCCAGGCAAAGTGTTCAATTTCTTGATGCTCTCTGTCTCTATAGCTGCTATCCCAAACGCCCACCTAAGCCCCTTTGGGTCCTTAAAATACCCGCTTCGGAGGTAGTCTATGCCTAAAATGCATGGGGCCTCTGGGCCAGTCACAATGGGGTGCTTCTTCCACTCATTTCCAGTCAGGCTCACATCAGCTTCCACTAAAGTAAAGTCTTGTGATCCCCCTGTCACACTAGCAATAGAAACAGATTCTGCCCCTACATATCTTGATGGGATTAGGGTACACTGTGCACCAGTGTCAACCAAGGCCTCATATTTTCATGGTCCTGATGTGCCAGGCCAACGAATCCACACAATTCAATAGACACGGTTTTCCCTAGCCTCTACCTGGCTAGAGGCAGGGCTCCTCTAAGCTTGGTTATCGTCATACTTGTCAGTTTGACTACAGGCTACTGGAGCGGCTTTCTTTTTGGTGGAGTATTCCCCCTGAGTCTTGCTGTCTTTCAGTTCATGCATCCGTTTTGCCAGAGCAGCAGTAGATTTTCCATCCCATCTTTTCATGTTTTCTCCACAGTCACGTAGGAAAAACCACAGCTCAGCTCGTAGCTTTTTCTCTCTATCTGGGGAACTTCTGCGTTGAGTACCAGGGCTCCTGGTCTGTACTGCTGAGACTGGAAGAAGATCTTCCCTGAATTTCTTGAGAGTCTCCTCTATTTTGTCGTGGAAGTTTTGCATACGTGTTTCTATAGCTGCAATTGTTGCCTGCATGGGGCCATGCACGGTATTTGCATATGCTCGAAGCTTCTTCGCCATATCCAGCACAGTCTCTTCTCGGTCATCCCGCTTCATTGTTGCTAAAGCAGAAGCGTATTCTTGTGGCCCAAGTCGAACAAGTTTTCGCCACATCACAGATGTGCATGGCACCAAGTCTGGATTTCTAGTACCCAAGTCATCCACAAAGACAATCTCTACTATTGCCATTTCTCTCAAGCGCTGAATCCCTTGTTCTATGGTTTTCCAACGAGTTTGCTGTATATAGAGATCGTCTGCACACAGATATCTTTGTGCCACACTTCTTAGGACCCGTTCCCAGAGACTATAAGGGTCAGCCCCCCTCATCATCTCCTGGTCAATAACCGGATCGTGTGACAGGGATCCCAGATGCCTCGCTTCAGTGCCATCCAGAACTGTAGCCTCACCTGCAGCATCCCACAGACGGACTAACCAACTAATTATAGATTCATCAGGTCATCGAGTGTAATCTTTTCTCAGGCCACGAAGGTCCTTCAGGGAGAAAGGTTCACCAGTGCCTTCTGATTTTGTGTCAGTTGCTGGTCTTGAGGGTCCTTCCCCCGCATCACCATTATCATAATCCACTGGCCGATCGGTTTTGGTTTTGAATTTCATGCCTCTCGTGGCAGAAGCAACAGACACTGGCTTAGGCTCACTGTCTGGTTTGGCTGCTGGCTTAGGCTCACTGTCTGGTTTAGCCTGAGTGACTGGGGTAGCTGCTGATTTATCTGCCTGCCCTACAGTATCTAGCACCGTGCGATAAGCATACGCTAGGGCCCAGCTTATTGCAATGATATTTTTCTTTTTAGAATCATCACAGCAATTCTCTTCCAGATATTTCCCTACTTCATCTGGGTTCTGAATTTGTTCACGTGAAAATTCCCAGGCTGGGGGATCAGAAAATTCCTTCAGAGTTCGGCCAATTCTCTCCCATTCTCTACACCACTCAGGATTTCTTACACCTGAGTCTACTTCTGGGGCAGGGGTCTCATTGGCTCTTCTGGATATCTCAGCCCTCATCCTATAGAAGCTGCAGACTATATAGAGGAAGCTTAACAGGTGAACCAGCTGTACTACCAGGAAAGTGGTATCCTTAACACTCAGGGGAAACTGGATATTCTCAAAGAGGGACATAACAGATTCAAAGGAGAAGAAGGAAAGAAAAGGCTGAAAAGCCTCATCCCCTGGTCTTCCTCTAACAAACTGGGTGCAATTACCAATAAACTCCCAAAATGTGCTACTAGGACTGGGAGGCAGGGTCGGGCGAAGAAACCATGAGCCAAACATACCTGACAGAAACTTCAGTAATTCTATAAACTTCCTATAAATCATTATCACCGAGCCCAGCACAATAACCATTCTAATCCGTGCCCCTCTACTGTGAAAGAGGGCAAAGACAGGTATTAAAACCTCAAAAACTTTTAGGGACCAGGTCCACATGAAGGCTTCTACCCCAAGAGACATTATGTATCTAAACAACATGACTACTGACTGCTTTATCCCAATACAGAATAAACACAACCAACAATCAGTACAGGTTTTTCCACTTTCTCTTGCCCCACGTTGGGTGCCAAAAACTGTATTTGTCTTAGTTTAGGGCAAATCAGGAAGGAAAACTCTAAATGGGGATCTCCACAGGGAAATGCCCCTCCCCACAAACAGGTCCGGGAAAAGGAAAAAAAAATTCTGTGGAGAGAAGTGGAAAAAGCTGTTTATTTAATAGAAATTGAGTAATATTAAATAATAAAACCTCTTGCTGTTCGATGGGATGGTAAGTCGAGGAAGAAAAGTCTTTTTTCATGTGGTGTAGCTCGGCTCACTCAGGTTCTTATCAGTCCCTCCGGCGCTGGAAAAGTGCCGAGGCCCAGGCCCCAGTGGGCCACAGGCGTGAGCTCCCGGGGTTTGGCTGGATTTGTTTTGGTTCAGTCCAGAGCAGGCTTGCACAGATCTAAGAAAATTGGAAAAAAACCAAAGGTCCAGGGAACTCTTCTGCCTCAGCTAACTAAAACTAACTAAAAGCCAGAGAGAAGCTCTGTCCCACTGTCTGTCCGTGCTGCAGACACCACAGTTCAGGAGCGGGGTGTGTGGGAGTGATGTTTTCCTTAACACACTGCGCACTTCTTTTTCCCCTCTTGATTGTAACTTGTGCCCTCTGCTTTAATAAGTTTTTTGACTTTTTTATTATACACTGGCTTACCTTTAATGGAAATTTTCCCATCCGGTATTAATGTTGCCTCAACTGCTTCTTTAAGTACCTTTGGCTGCATCTTTTGCCTCTCTATCCACCATTTCCTTCTTCCAATTCAGAGCTCACATTTTGGTGTGCTTTGATAAGCAGGATGGCCACCTTTTCAGGTAGCTCTACTGCATCTAACAGTCTCCGTATTTCTTGTGCATGTTTGATATTTTTCCCCTGTGAGTTCAACAGTCCTTTTTCTCTCCAAACAGCTCCGTGTGCATGGACTACCCCAAATGCGTACCTTGAGTCAATGGAGATGTTAATTTCTTTTCCTTTTGCCAGCTCCAAGACCCAGACTAAAGCTATTATTTCAGCTNATATACGCTGGCACCCGCGGCCCCGCCGAGCGGCGTCCCGGCGAGCTCAGCGCCTACTCCGTCTTCAACCCCGGCTGCGCCGCCATCGCCGGGACGCTGACGGCCGAGCAGCTGGAGCGGGAGCTGCACTACCGCCCCGCCGCGGGCAGGTAGCACCCGGCCCGGCGGGGACTGCGCTGTGCTGGGCCGGCCTCGCAGCCGCCGCCCCGGAGAAGGGCCGGGCCTTTGGGGAATGAAATGGGGTTTGTTCCTGTGCAAAAATCCGCCTGAGCCATACTGCTGGACCCGGGTCTTCAGGCGCCGGACCGTCCCGAATAAAGCCGTAGCAAAGCCTGCGCTCTGGTCTCGTTTCCTGGGGCCGGGCAGCTGTTTCGGCCGCTATGGAGCGGCCCCGAAAGGCACGGCCTTGTCATAGCTGCGTCTGCCAGCGTGTCAGCTGGAGGGCTTCAGGTCCCAGGAGCTTTGCCACGAGTAACAGAAAGGCTGGCGTTTGACGACGCCTGCAGTAGAAGGGCCCGCTGCTGCTCTCCCCTGCACCGGATGGAAACCACATTCTGAAGAAACGACATGACGCAATAACCATACACATAAAATAGGCTGCTGCTTTGGTTTGCAGTGGTGTCTTTCATCTAACACAAACATCAGATAATAATTTCCTTTTTGCTTCATATTCCAGGTTTCATAATTGTAAGCCACAAAATACTTTTTTCTGGCCAGGTGTATTTGCATGATCCACTGCTGGTTTATATGTATTGAATTGAGGCAGACCTTCTTAGCAAAGTGGTACTCACCACTGCTCAAAGCATGTAAAAAACACATGGATGTGACATTTGAGAACATGTTTCAGTGTTGAACATGGTGGTGATGCTAAGTTGGACTTGATTATCTTAAAGGTCTTTTCCAACCATAACCATTTAATGATTCATTGAGTCATCATTTTGAAGAGCAGCTGCTAGAACTTGTGTCTCTGAGAACAGAGTTGAGAGGAAGAGTCACAAATTGGTCTTCCAAACCCTATTCCATTATGTCTTTTCTGATTTAACAGTTAAACTCATTGTTAAGGCAACACAAGTTCTATCACTGATTGTAGAAACAGAAGTGGAGCTTTGAATTTAATGGGACTAGTAAGAGAGTAATAGATTAAAGCATATATAATATGGTAACACAGCTAAGCATCTTTCAGTAGCTCTCCACAGCACTCTCACGGTTTCTGTCTTGGGCTGTTGTATAAATTCCAAGTCCGGCTACTTAAAGGCAAAAAATTTTGTCATTTGCACATATTCTGTCATCCTCCAGTAAACCCCCCAGAGTTTTCGTTATTCTTACTGATTCCTTTTGACTCTGTAACATGCTGCATTTTGGATTTGATTAACGTAGGCTCAGCAGGGCCTCGTGGTAGTGGACACATGGTTGCACATATAAAGCGTTGTTTCCTTGGAAGAACCACAGATTGTGAATCTTTCTTAAAAAGTATTCTAATTGCAGGGTAAGAAATAGCTGAATGATACTCAAAACACTTGTAAGCAATGGAATTTTGTGAATTGAAACTTTATTCACAACAATAAATATCAGCAAAGTGTTTATGGGGAGTTGATAATCTGATATCTCGTCACAGTTCAGTTCTGTGGGTATTTTTAAAACAAGGAAATACATGCAAATAAATATTAAATATAAGGTAAGATCCACGAAATTATAAAAATTCTTAGCAGCAATGCTGGAAATAAAGTTTTCACTTGCTATAAACTCTAGCTGCATTATGTCCAGGTGGATTTATAGACTCTTGCATTTAATGCTTTATGAAACAAGTATGAAACAACCACAATAAGTGAGCATGAAGTCAAAAGGCACAAAAAATAAAAATTGACACAGTTCATCTGTTCCAGTGGTTTGTATCGGTTTACTTATTTCATGCTACTCAAATAAATGTACATTACACATTGTAAAATAGAGATGGCATGAATAACAAGGGCTTGCAAAAAGGTTTTATTGAAGTAGATAAAGTATGATGGAGAAATTGGCATTGAGGCCTTTCTAAATCTCTAAATACACAAATACTGTGATTCTGCTTGGTGGTAATTACTTCCACTGAGTTGTTTTGAGAGGGCATTTAAAAAGGTCTGAACAAGTGAGAGCTTAATTAGAGGGGGGGGAAAAAAATTTCTCTGCAGCCTTCTGCTTGGCTAAGACCTCACTTTGTTGCCTTACTTTTCCCTTGCATTCTAACAAAGCAGAAGTCACCAGGATAAGTTAACTGGAGTTACTCCTGTGGGACCAAAACCCTCAGTTCACAAATGAGCAGGAGGGACAAGAACTTACTAATTCAAAAGCACGTCAAGCTGTTGAATCTTACGACAGTAACTAAGTACAATGGAAATGCTCTCTATTCCCATGTCTGTTCTCCTTCATTTGTTACACACACTTGTTTGTCCAGCACAGCAGTGAGTTAAAACAATTCTGTAACTTCTATTGTAAAAGCAAAACTATTATCTTGCCAACAGCTGCACAAGCAGCTGAAACGTTTTTTCCCAGGTTTGCACAAACTAAGCAGGACCAGCATCCACTCTTGAATATTAATTGAGTGAAATTATTCCCACGAGTGTGCATTAAGCCACAGCTGTAAATTGCATCTGTCACCATGCTGCCCTTTCACCTGCCAGTAACAATCTTTAGTACTTTTTTCCTATTCTTAGCACTTCAGGGTGGACATTAGATAGAAACATCAAGCATATTCTGTATGTACAGGAAGATAATTAACTTGTAGGACAGCAGTTAACACCTGCATTTATTAGACAAGTATTGTATTGATGGCCACACAACACAGAAGCTAGTTTTTAAATACAGGGAAGAACCTGAAGTGCTTCATTCCAAAGTCAGCTTTGCAACTGATGTTGGGGAGGGAAGGCGTGGAAGCAGCCTGCAGAGAAGCTAGCGTGCTGCACATAAGCCAGCCTGAGAACTGGGGTGGACTTCTGCAAACACGCCTTTCTCCTTGGAGATCAATTACAAGCATTAGAGCAGAAGAAGGTAACACATCCTCTTTAATTCAATTCTAACCGTATGATTGCAAAACTAATCCATACTGTTGGCAATTAGAATTCTAATACAATAAATGCAATAAATAATCCCATGCAAAGCAATCTAGCTTCAGGCAGGAAAGATGCTGAGTTACATCCCAGAATATCCAGTTCACTTTCTTGGCAATAGGGGCTGTGAATGCCAGTGCAAAAAGACTTTAAAATAGGGAGGGTTATTTCTGCTGAACAGTTTTAACTGTTTTGCCATGGAAGTTACTTATTTATTACAATAAATCTGTGAGCAGGGAGATTCTCAGAGCTAGTCTTTGGCACTTTGCCTCTTTGTTGCAAAGGGAACCCAAGTAAGAGCAGAATAAAGATGTGCAAAGGTTGTTATTAAGTGATGCAACACATCACACCTGCTTCTAAAGGTACTTTGGCTTGTCCTCAGCAACTCTTGTCAACATCAGGCAGGGAACACACACTACACAGTGCAGATGTAGTCACTGCACGAGCCCTTGTGATTTTAAGCAGATGGAAAAAGCTCATGGATTTCAGGAATTTTTGTTTGGAGTTGTTGGTTTTGTTTGGGTTTTTTTGGAACGCTGCTGATGGGAAGCTGGGAGGCTCTGGAGAATGGCAGCCCGCCCCGGGCAGGGGGGCAGAAGCTGTCCTTGGTCCTGAACCCGTGCCCTGCACAAGGGCCACCTTCCCATCCGCGAGTGTGGGTACCTTG